GCTAGATGGAGAGAGTAAAAAAATGATTCCACAGCTTGACTGACTAGGCCCAACCCAATAGCTTCATGTTTTAATCATATGATTACTTTACGAAAAACTTTAAGCAGATAGGTTCAGGCTTAGTCCTCATTTCAACTATAGCCTCAGCATTTGATATCTCTTCTTTGAAAAAGTGATTATACATATTAAACCTACCACTGACTGGCAATTCCATACAAATTGTTTAATGTGCACACAGTAAAGGCAGTTATTATACATTTTCAATAAACCACATGCAGACCACTGAGAAAGAACTGAACAAAAGATGGACACAGAAGTACCCTGCGCATGTAGTTGGAGCATTGTCCCATAAACCGGAAGGGCAAAGGTTCAATTCCTGGTCAGGGCTTATGCCCAGATTGTGGGTTGGGTCCTTGGTCAGGCACATATAAGAGGCAACTGATTGATATCTCTCTCACACATCAGTGTTTCTCTCCCTCTCTCTAAAAGCAATATGTATGTCTTTGGGTGAGGATAAAAAAAATATGGACAGAGAAGCTACAGAGAATGTATTCAGTATGTGGAACTGAGTAAACATTCTGATCATTATCAGGGCTTTAAGTGTAAGAAAAAAATCTAAATGCCCTTTGAATTGCTTTGATTCTAATTTGATCACTTATAAGGAGATGTTTGTGACTACCTATTTTAAAATTCAAACAATGTAAAATAATGTAACATCAAAGCTAAATCAACTATTGTTCTTTTTTCTCCTTCTGTTTGTAAATGTTTAAAAAAACTGTCCTTATAGTTTAAATCAAAGACCTGTAAAATATTGCATTAACATTATAATAACCATTGGAACAACTTACTGTAACTTCAACCTTATTACCAGTGTAAGGGGAAAAAAAACCAACTATGTGAATGCCAGGAACTTCCAGTAACTAAATGCTCTTGGAAGGCATCCAAGACAACGTTATAGTAAATTTCCAACTTGTTTCATCTAAGATCAAGAAAAACAAGTTATCTAAAGCACTGGATCATGTTTAAATAGACTCTAACTAAAAGTTTTACGTCAAATAATCACTCAGAAAAAAATCTTTACACTATACCTATGATGAGCCCTAAGTCCGTTAAGGGTCAAATGAGGGGACAGCTGCACCCAGGAATCTAAGTCACATTACTTAATATTTTGAGAAAGATTTTAATACCAGTAGCTTCCATTTTTAGAGAACTAGATTTTGGCAGAATCTATTAAAGTAATAGTTTACACCGATACTGAGAATCTCCACAGCTTCTACAGTGTGGACGGCATGTGGTGGTGGTTACATTTTGGTTTCTAGCTAGAGCCACTCTTTAGTCTCCGGTTATTTGGGGTTCAAATTCCTTCTTTACGGTTTGCATGTCTGGTGGGTGTATATCAATTTCGCATATAAGCAAACTTAAAGGTGTTTTATATGTATGAGTGCACGTGTGAATGCACATACATAGCACTCTAGATGAGTTGGGATGTCTGCTCCTAACAACTGATTTAGAAATTAAAGTTCTACTAAACTGAGAAGGAAAGGCCAGCGGTTGTAAGAAAAATCAAGCCAAATAGCCACGGGAGCTATAAAATTAACTAGCAGGTTCACAAAACAAACAAAGCCAACATATTTTTACTGAGCATCTTTAAGTATCTGTAAATGTTCTTGCTTTTAAAAAGTTGAGTGGTACACTTACATTTATGAAAAATGTCATTGTAGGATAAATTTCTAATTCCCAAAAGAAATAATTAAAGTTTAAAGATCTGCATATAAAAACAATAGAAGCAAGAACTGTAATGAAATGAACAGAAAAAGCAAACATGGTTTTACAGGAAACATTAAAAGTGGGATGGACTAAATGTAATAAAAGACCTAAAATGAAGGGATTAGACATAAATATTCCCAATGTGTTCAATATCTACTGAAAGAAGCAATGCCATTCACATTAATACCTGTCACAAAAGTTGCCATAAATTAGCCACTTCAATTTTTTTAATAAGGAACCAAGGAGAGATGTTACAATATATTTTGTATCTTATCAATATTGAGCTATTAAATTTATATGCTCCATCCGAAGACGTGTGCTAAGACTGAATTCTGTTAGCACAAGAGTGAAATGAAGCCTCACTAGACATTCGACATAAAGCTGAGCCCTAAAGGCTCCTTGATGCACAGTTTGCAACCACAGCATTCACAGTAACAGTACACTAAACCATCAACAGATTAGTTTAAAACAGTTTAGCTTTCCAATTTCCATAATATAGGCAACATTTTCAGAAGCAATCATATTACAATAAATGTGTCTTTCACAGTTATGGGATGAAATCCTAAACTGGACAGGCACCAATGCCCTGATTTTCTACTTTTTTCAAAACCATATGACTTCCACATGCTGAGAATGTTTTATGCTTTAACCTGCAGTAAAGGCTTTACATCATTTTAATGCTCAGTGCTTAAAATGCAACAGAATCACCCCAATGAATGCAAGGAATATATCTGGTTTACTCTGCAATGATTTTAACCAGACTACTAGTCAGAGAAAGTTCAATGAGAGCTTTTCCCAATAACTCTGCATTTCCATAGAAGAAAACAAACAAAAAAGAAAATCCGAGGTAAGGGTGGGTGAAGAGCAGATACTTATATTGTTCCAACTCTTAACAAACATTTCAGGTTTTATTTCTAAAATAATTACTGAAAATTTTAACACTCTTTATCTAAGAGAGTATCTTTTGGCCAAAAACAATCCTATTATGTAGTAATAATTTAGGATTTTCCTCCAGTTTTTACAAAATAGTATTTCAGATTAAGATAGAAGATTAAAGCAAAAATATTCTGGAAATCCTAGTCTATAACAAACTAAAGGCTCAGCTTTGTATTAACACATTCTACATTCTAAATTCGAGATTTAGAAGACATCGATTTTGTTTCTATTCAGGTCAATGTAAATATATATGCTAACTCATGTGTCCAGTCAGCTTATCTGTGTGAATGACCAACTGCAGAAATGTCAAATGGAAGATTATAAAACATAAGATAAAATTACATACTGTAGCTACGTGACTTTCAGTTTTATGAAATCTAAGGTCCTTTATGGATAGGTTCAAGAATTAGTAAGTTTGAAGCCAAATATGTAGATACATTAAATTCTCAATAGTTGAAAGAGACATGTCAATTTCTTTAGTTATTCAAAAGTCTATTACACTAAAAATCTATCACATGGGAAAGGTTACTGATAAACTTCTATTTCAGACAGAAGGAAGTACAAAATACATGATCTTAAATTCTCCTGGTGTGATGTTATTAAATATTAAAGACTGTGAGAATCAAGATGTTGCAATCTCCTTCCTTTATAACTCCAATTGAAACTTGAAAAAAAATCAGATTCAAATTTTCCAAACTTATACACATAATTCAATTAGATCTAACAACTTAGTTGTGCAGTTTTAAAATAAGTTTAATGCAAGGCACTGCAAACTTGATGTGACAATTACCTGCGACTAAATGCAAAATAAAAACAAACGCTGGCTCTTTTCATCTAAAGATGTATTTTACACAGAACTACAAAAATCACAACTGTATTAGCACACACACACAGGGGCACAGGAAGCATTATGTCCATCCAGGAAGAGAAATGTACCATACCAAGAAAGAGAGGAAGGAAAGAATGAAAGAAAGGGAGGAAGGAAGGAAGGAGGGGAGGACAGAGGGAGGGAGGGGAGGCAGAAGTCTGTATACCTGCAGGATCCCAGAGAAATGAACTAGTCATATCACTCTACTTTATTTGAAACATGAGGGTTTTTAAAGCTTCAGGGTAAATTTATAAAGCAATCACTTTATGCCATTCAACTTTACATAGTAATCTTTAATGCCAACTGCATTCTCCCCTTCACTCACCCAATGCGTCCTCACTCTTCCGTACCAGCCTTCAGACAAATGCGAGACAGAACAGGGTGGGGTAGAAGAAAAACACAAACAGCGCCTTTCAGCTACTCCCCCTGCCTCCAAATAATTTCCAACAGTTTTCTACCACGGAAATAAGTCGTCCTATCTCAAGATACACAACAGTCATTCTGTGTCTTTAGTAGACAGAGAGATGCCTACACATGTCAGCAGTCCCGACCCCGACCCCACGTCCCTGAATCTTAAGGTAATGTTTAACGTATTCAACACGAAAGACGATGAGACACCCCTACCTGCTGTTTCGGGGTGAGGGTGGGTGGAGGACTCCTTTCCAAGTAGCCCCAATAGTGTAACAAAAACACGGTTCCGGAATAAAATATTAAGAACACTGTTCCTTTCCCACCTTATCTACCGACTTAAGGATGCAAAAATTCCTCTCCATCCCCACAGTTCTCCTGCTTGGAGTTTCGGGGTGGAGATGTGTCGCGGGAGGGGGAGGAGGCTGGGAGGACGAGTGTGATCGGGCAATGGGACACAGACGAGTTGCTAACGCCAGCTACCCCGCACGCACCACGGCGCCAGCCCAGAGGTCCACGTCCCGGACCTCACGCACGCTCCCCTGGCCAGGCCCAGTTCAAAGCTATGACTCCAGCTATCTAACTTCCTATCGCTAGACGTGTATTCAAGACTAACGTGTTACAGAGTACACGTCACACAGTTTAAAATACAGTTACACACCAGGAAAACCCACACACCTCCAATTCACCTTACAGTTTCCCAAACTCCAGACAGGAGACCCCACCTCCAGGATTCAAACCTTCCGCCCATAGTGGAGGAGACGAGAGGAGTTGGGCAGCAGCCGACGCCTTTCAATTACCGCCCCCCACAAACTGCCCCACCCCATACTCTGCGTCCCCGTCTCCCACTCGGAAGCCCCCTACTTCCTCTCTCCTCTCAATCGGGCCGTTTACGAGACCTATCCCCAGACCACTCAGTTTCTCCCCAAAATCCCGCAAAAAAGGAAAAAGAAAGAAAGTGAAGAGAAAGAAGTGGGGAAAACGACTTGAGGTGGCGCGGCTTGAAAACCACTCGACTCACCTCGGAATCGTTGCTGAGTTCTCTCCGCGCGACACAGCCCCCTCCCCAACGTCCCAGTACTAAGGGCTGAGATAGGGAGGAGGGGAAAGCGGGAGGGGGAGGGGTGTCTTCCGCGTGGGGCGCCAGGCGGGAGGGGCCTGGGGAGGGGTTGAGGTCCGCGCAGGAAGAGGAGAAGGGGGAGGGGAGGCCCCTATCTCCCAGTCTCCCCCTGAAAATCTCCCTTGTCTCAATCACATCAGACTGACTGTCTTTGTCTGGCTGACAACCGCCATATTGATATCAACAGCCCCACTCCCACCTGCTGCCGCCAGGCGGCCCTGGGAGTTGTAGTTCCTAACTCCCTTGAGTAAAAGCATGGGGCTTAGCGTCCCGAGACCCCAGGGAACTACAACTCCCGGCAGGTCGCGCGCCCAACCGCCTTCCCACTGGGAGGAGGGTAAAGGAGTGCCACCGCTGTGGAGACTACACATCCCAGAATACCGTGCGTACCAGGCCCAAGCTGGCGACGTGATATCCTGCAGGGATGGAGAGGGGGGATGAATTGGCGGTGGGGAAGAATTTGAGCTAACGGAAGGAGGTGTTTAGAGAGAAAAAGAGAGGAAAGGGAAAGATAACTACAGTTCCCATGATGTATAAAGAGGCGACTACATTTCCCATGATATCCCGGAAAGGCAGCGCTGCGAAGAAAGACTACATATCCCACGCTGCTCTCCTCCCCCGAGCGGCGGAGCTTGAACCGGAAGACGCTTTCTGGGTTTGAGGATTCCAGTGACTGCTGTTGAATCAAAAAGTCCAATATGAAACTGGTGAGTCTCCGCTCCTAAGTTAGAAGGCAATGGTTATACCATATCCTTTGGACTTAGTCGTTTCCATCTTGCGAAGGGAACCGTCTCTAAAGGGGTGGCAATTAGGAAACTAGAAATTGGGACGGACTAAAGGGGAAGCTGCTGTTTGTTGTTAAGGGGGTTAGAATCACACCTCTCTACCCCTTTACCACACACACAACTGCCAGAAGAGCGTACCTATCCTTGGGTCCCTTTGGTTAAATGAGAGGTTGTAACATTTCTTCGTCGGCGCACTAAGATTGGACTTTATGAACTAGGTTTGACTTGTTTCTCAGCTGCCACGTGAGTGTTATAATAGGTTGTTAACTTCTTTCCACTAAGTTGACTCTTGATTAGCGTTTCTTTCTACCCTTGTGGAGAACTCTTTAGTTACTTATGAGCAGAGGTTAGAAGATATTGAACATATTAAATTTTCTACTACAGACCCCTAATTGCTCTTGGAATTCAAAGAAGGATGAGGTCAGGGTGTGTTCCTGGAGGATTTGAGGCTTAAACCATATATAGGATATGGGTAGATTGGGAGGAACTGTACAGACATTACAGGTGGCAGAGCCCTTCTAGTTGGTAGATGGAATGAATGCTGCCTGATTCTTGAATCGCTTCATGAAGCCAATAAGATCTTCAAATTAAAAATAAAAAACCAAAAGACATTACAGTCTAGGGCTGTAGGGATTTCATGAACCAAGGTTAGGTGGAACATGCCAGTACACCTTGAGTCTTTGCATCACAAAACTCAGAACACCTGGCTTACAGGAATACTTCTCAGCTTAATTTTGAGCTACTTGTGCACACAGACCTAACTAGTTTGCTCCAACTGTGTGGAATTAGCTAATAGCATAATTAGGAGAGTAGAAAAGCTCGTGTAGGATGCTGTACCTTTTAAAATCTGTTCCTGTAGCCAAATATTGTCAAGCTTTACTTTCTGTGATTTTTACATAAAAACAAAAGATTTATTTTTTTCCATTTATATAATTACTTGAACCATGCTTTTCCAAAGCACCCACATACCCCTCATTCCCCACCTTGGCGATTATCATTGCACAGGTATATACTTAACTCAGCAAAGCATCATCTGTTTTCTGAGAAGTCAGAAAAAGTACTAAAAGTAGACTGAACTACAAAACTGCCTCCATTTAAAGCTGATTATGTAAGGGATAGAGCTCAAATCAGTAAACCTTGAGAATATCAATTTGATTCTGGGTCAGTGTGCCAGACACTGAAGAATGCAGAATTGAAAGTCACTGCCCTAGCCTTAAAGAAGCATGCAATATAATGAAGGTAGAAAAGTAAGCCAAAATTACAATTCACTGCATTCCTGAAAGCACAGGGGCATGTTTAGGGCTTGGAGAATTGAGGCGATTGAGAGGCAGCTTCCTGGAAAGGTAACTCTAGAGCTGGTAAGAAGGATGAGTAGGCTAGGGCCTTCCATGAAGAAACTTCAGCTTAGGAGCAAAAGACATTGTGCCTAAATGATTGGAGCACAGACCATGTCTTCAATACAAAATGAAGTATACTTGGTGTGCTTGGTGAGAAGGCCTGCAAGTGTGTAACAGTTTTTCTATAAAAACTCATTGGCCAAGGTTATCAGAGAGCCATTGTTTACATTACATATACAAGAGTGGGCAAATGTAGGTTTACAGTTGTGAGTTTATTCTTGTATTATTTGTTTTTAAATAATCATTACCTGCATTTTTTTTCCCCTACGAACAACTGTACACCTACTTTTGCCCACCCTATACTTTGGTTTGCTCATAATATCCTGTTATTTAGAGATGTGAAAACATAGGGAAAAAGTAGAGACTTATTTTTTTTCCCTTTAAGAACCAAAAGGTGCCTCAGAGGAAGTGTTATAACTCCTTTGATAGTTAATGATCAGTAATGCAGAATTTCTATCAACATGGCAAAGTGGTTTCAGAAACACTGACACTCAGTAAATTAGACTTCTTTTGTGTGACACACCTCCCGTTAAGTTGGAATAAATCCTCCCATGGCCTAAAATGTTAAACTTTATGTGCTTCTTCATACAAAATTATGGGATTTGTAGTAAGGAATTTGTAGTAAGCCATGTTTTACATTTGTATCATGAAACACAGAAATACATTTTATTGAGCACATTCTTGTTTTTGAGATTATGACTTTGCCAAAATACCCTTCGCACGCACAGTCTGTGACCACACCTTTTTCAGTCTCCTTCTGTTGGTGAACTGGCCTGTTTCTCTCCAGTCCTGCCAATACGGGCTTGGTAGGGGCTCTTTGCACTTGCCACTTGGAATTCAAAACACCTTCCACCTGGTCTCCCTGCATTCAGTCTTAGCCTTCTCCTATCCATTTTCTATTCTGCACCCCAGAAATTGTTTTAAGAGTAACATAAAACCCTTTGCCCTTAGGATAAAGTTTTATAATTTTTCACTTGACTACTTGACATCCTGCCTCTATAGGCTCATGTCTAGCCCTTGTCAACCTTGTTCTCCTTATTTCACTTATATTGCACATCTTCCAGTTCCTTGATCTTTCCCTTCTCTCTTTAGCCTCTGGGATTTTACATGTGTTCCATTGCCTACAACACTTTTCTGCCTGCCCAGTTTCTTTATACATTTCAGGCCTCTGTTTAAATAGCACTTCTTCAAGGTTTCCTCATATTAGGTACCCTTCCCATATGCTTCCATGGCACACTTCCTCTTGTAGCATTTGCAATTGCTGGTTTTATCTCTGCCCTCCCTCTCATAGACTTTGTGTTTTCCCAAGGCCCAACATCATGTGACACCACTAAATAGCAGTTAAATAAATAATCTCTGAAGGCATATTACTGAGAAAAGACTAAGGGATAATAAGCCATAACAATGGAGTAAAAAGAACTAAGTGCTACCCTTTATGGATCAAATACTGTGTGCCAAACACTGTGCAAGGTACTTGCTCTTTAGTGTCCCACCGAACCCTTCAGTCTAAGTCAGGGGCATCAAACTCATTTTCACCGGGGGCCACATCAGCTTTGCAGTTGCCTTCAAAGGTCCGAATGTAATTTCAACTTATTAACAGTTAAGGACTGGTTACATTAATACAGTCCTAAAATTATTTTGGCCCTTTGAAGGCAACTGCCAGGCTGATGTGGCCCCCTGTGGAAATTAGTTTGACACCCCTGATCTAAGTGATAGTACTCCCATTTTACAGATTAAAAATCTGAGCCTCAGGGAGGTGAAGTGGCTCAAAGTTACGCCGAGGAGAAAAGTGCTAGAGCCAAAATCTGAACCCAAGATTCCTTTATCAAGAGTCTGCTGTTTAATAAGGGCAAGGGCTCCATCACCTTGCCTTGCGCAGTGCATGGCATGTGCTAGGTTCTCTCTTAAAGGAAGCCAGGGTGCATACTGAGAGACAGTTTATTTGGGGCTTTTGTTTTTCTTAATAAGTATAGTTTGTTAAAAATCCTGTTAAAACATATGGATCAAGGGAAAGCAAAAAATAACTGGAGGACCCGTGAAGGAAAAAACCTTCAGATGTGGCCCCTGGGAGCCCTCTGGAGAGCACGCAGCGGGAAACATTCATGTTCTAAACAGAGGGAGCCCCTCCCCACCACCTCCACCTCCCCTCTTCATTCTCACCTGCTATTCGGGGCTATTTTTGAAATTAGCTTTAAAGGAGAGTTTAGTTAAATTAAGGTCTTTAAAAAAAATAGTGGTAAAAAATTGAAGTTTGGAAACTGTCTTGATAATATAAAGTGCTCCATATCAGATCGTACCAATTGGGAGCCCACGTTAGTTTTTATACCACCCAAGTTAGCCTCTGATACCAATTTTAGTTGTCCGGTTTATACTTCATTCTCTTAGTAGCTTTTTACTCACCCAGAGGAAGACAGTGGATGTCATTGTAATGTAATCCTTGGGTATCTCCTTGTAGAGATACCAACTGAAAGGATTTTAATGACTCTATAATATTACTTAGTATTCAGGCAACTTTATTTAACTGAAGAAATTTATTGGTACCTTCAATGAACCAGAATTGTTTTAAACAGAACAGGAAAATTAGAAATGTATCCTCTAAATTAGCACGTTTTAGAGCATGTTCTGTTTTAGTATAGGTTGAGCCTAATTGGATACACCCTGATGGCCATTTCAGCTAAGCAAAGGAACTAGAATTCACCAGGGGACTTAACAGAAAAAAAAAATACTGAGTACATCAGCAGAAATTGACTTTGAAACATCATGACCAGGAGTTTAGTCATTCCAAGAGATGAAGATTAAAGTGAATAAAATAATAAGAAGTTCGAGAATGCGGCATGTGTCATGCTTCCTGTAGATAGTTCCAGAGATGGAGAGAGTCTTCTAGTTTATTCAGTCAACAAAGATGCAAGTGCAGTATACCCTTGACATTTAATATTTTCCATTTTAACTATTAAGTTTGACCCCAAAGATTGATGACAAAGAGTTATTTGTAATTTTGCTGAAGCAGAGATTTGAATGTGGCTTTACGATTAATGATAATCCTTACTGGTTGGGCCTGATTGCCTCAGGATCCACGGCTCTCCTCTCTCTGCAGTTATTCTTGCTCTCTTGTTAAAAGTCTGAAAGAAAGGTCATCGAAATGCTTGGTGTGCTCTACTTTTGAATTTGATGGAGGAACTGATATGCTGTAGTTGTATTTACACATTTAAAAACTCAAGATAATCCCTGGCTGGTATAGCTCAGTGCATTGAGTAAAGGCCTGCAAACCAATGGGTCACCGGTTCAGTTCCCAGGCAGGGCACACACCTGGGTTATAGGCCAGGTCCCCACTAGGGGGCGTGAGAGAGGCAACCACACATTGATATTTCTCTGCCTCTTTCTCCTTCCCTTCCCCTCTCTCTAAAGAAAATAACTAAATAAAAAATTTTTTTAAATAAATAAAAACCCAAGATAAGCCATAAGATACATTCTTTAGTGGTCTATGCTCCTTTGTACAAAATGCCACCTCCTTACTACTAGCTTTGG